ACTCCTCTCCTGTACATGTTGCCCCCTCTCATACCCCCTCCTCCCATCCTATAAATTGTAAAAGTAATACTTTTTGGGATACATTTCAGTGAGAGTTTCTGATTCTGCAAAAATTTTCCTGAATCCCTGCGCTCGCCCCTGAGTCGCGGTCCGCCGTCACCCCATTGGTCCTATAATACAAATAGTCACCCCGGATGGTGAAGTCTCTCCCGGAGATTGAGGCCAATACTCTGATATTGATGCTCAGCACTCACCTTGTACAATTCCACAGCTGCCGCCCTGGAACTGTGAGCCAACAGATGTCTGGGCTCTGAAATAGGTCCCTGGGAGGGGGGGAGGGACTTTAAATTAGAAAGATAACGGGGTTAGAGTGCACGAAAAAAAACACACACAGCCAATTGTATCTGTTGATCTCCGAGAATTGCACTCGGCTCCTCAGTCCTTGTTGTGATCAGGCAAGCAGCATTATGTGGACTGAGAGGTGTCAGCCCTGCACTGTTTTGTTTTGCTAAACTACTCAACCACCCCCACTCTGAGATCTCTACAACATACAGAAAAGTCAGAATGTTCTGTAGTCCAAGATGAGAACTATGGGAGGCTCTATGAAACAACAAGGGTGCAGAGGACACAGGCCAGCTTTTATTGTTTGGCAGGATCAACAGGTATATAAGGCACTTATCAAACAAAATGCTTCCAGTGATGTAATAACAAGTACAAAAGTATACTTGCCAACTTATTAGTTCTGGACCCAAGGGCACTGTCAACACCGCCCATGGCCCACACATGACACACCCATCTTCTGGATGGCTCCGCCCAGATACCAGGGCAGCCAGCACCCTATGGCTATGGAGGACCAAGATGGCGGAGCAGGACTGTGGCAGCGGATAGCAGCAGGAGAACGCTGTATTCGCTGGGCAGGTGAGTATGTGAATTGGGAACAATCTAAGGAGTGGGGAGGGGTGAACTTCCTCTTTTAATGTGTCATCTCAGATTCCAGATTCTCGGGTCACAAATCTCCTGTGCTGGCCGCTGACGTCATTTCTCAGATCTGGAACATGATAATGACGGGATGATACCAGCGAAAGGCAATTTATCAGATCAGAACCTTTATTGCGGCATAAAAACCAGACAATAAAATCTTCCGGCTCCACTTTTATATTACGATGTTTATCTGAAGACTGGAAACGGGTCACAATGCACGTCTGGGCGCTCGCCATGGCACCAATGCTGGGGGTTATTATTGCATCCATGACACCAATGTTGGGGGTTATAATTGCATCCATGACACCAATGTTGGGGGTTGTTATTGCATCCATGACACCAATGTTGGGGGTTGTTATTGCATCCATGACACCCATCTTT